AAGGCATCCTCAAAGATATTGAGAAGTGCAGCCGAAATTTCCTGTGGAATCAAAAGCAAGAGGGGAGGAAAATGCATTTAATTTCATGGAATCAAATTAAACAAACCAGAAGAGCGGGAGGTCTGGGCATTAAAGACCTTCAGTGCCAAAATATTGCTTTCGTCATGAAGTTGTGCTGGGGTCTACTCACGAAACCGGATGCTCTGTGGGTGCAATGCCTAAAAAACAAGTATGGATGCGGCAACGGGATTCATCCTATAGTCTTGAAAAAGGCTAATTCCTCGTGGGTGTGGAGGAGCATAGTAGCCGTTTGGCAACAATTTTACCAGGCGGTGGGTCGTAAGGTTAATAGTGGTGGACAAACCAACTTTTGGTGGGATATCTGGACCCTCACGAAACCGGATGCTCTGTGGGTGCAATGCCTAAAAAACAAGTATGGATGCGGCAACGGGATTCATCCTATAGTCTTGACTAATTCCTCGTGGGTGTGGAGGAGCATAGTAGCCGTTTGGCAACAATTTTACCAGGCGGTGGGTCGTAAGGTTAATAGTGGTGGACAAACCAACTTTTGGTGGGATATCTGGACCCCTTTAGAAGAACCACTAATATACTATGTGGAAAGGAATCTTCACAGGATCAAGTCCCAAACCAAAGTCAAAGACTTCATTATGAGCAATGGTGACTGGAACGCTCAAGAAATGCTCCAATATCTCCCGCAAGGCATAGTTGAAGTAATTAGGAAGACTAGACCCCCGGTAGAACAACAAGAGGACTGCTTCTGGTGGAGAAGGTCGACAGATGGGAATTTTAGTGTTAGACAAGCCTACAGAATGGTGTTCGAGGAAAGCAGACAACCAGGTGCAGGGATATGGAGGAAGATCTGGAAACTTGCGGTGCCTGAAAAAATCAAATTCTTCCTTTGGCAAGTTATCCATGACAGATTGCCAACAAATTCACTCAGAGCTAAGAGAGGAATCATTACCAGTGAGGAGTGCCCTTTTGAGTGCTTAAGAGAGGAAAACACTATACATATACTGAGAGACTGTGAGAATGCGAGAAGAGTGTGGACTAATATTATTCATCCTAACTGTCTATTTCAATTTTTTCGTTTAAATCTGCAGGATTGGCTGAAGACGAATTTTTCCAGAGACATGGGAACTAGGAGTTTTGACAGATGGCCTTGGACCAGAGTGTTTGCCATCGTTTGCTGGCTACTATGGAAAAACAGATGCAAAGGAGTCATGGAGGGAGTCAGGCATCAACCGAATGAGGTAATACATATGGGGCTTCACCAACTCATGGAACACACGGAGCAAGGACAACTCAAACATTGTCTCTTTGGGTCACTGAACTCGATGGACGATAGGTGGAGGCGGCCCCCGGAGAATTATGTTAGACTTGACACGGATGGGTCAGTAAATAATCAGCAACTAGTAGCAGGTGGAGGTTTGGTTCGAAACTCCACGGGAGAATGGATCGTGGGATTCAAGCAACAGATGGGATTCATGCCATCCACTGCAGTGGAGCTGAATGCTTTATTGACCGGACTGCGGATTTGTACACAATATGGATTCAGACAGATTCATGCGTATACCGACTCGCTAGAAGCCTTCCATCTCATCACAAGAGATGGCGGTCTTCACCATCCTTTGCGACCTACAGTGGCGGAGCTAAGAAATTTGATCTTCTCAGAGTGGGATCTCACCATCAGTTATGCACCTCGGTCAACCATCAAGTGTGCAGATATTTTAGCTAGATTAGCTCATTATCAAACTCAAGACTTGTTTATTTTACAGAACCCACCTCCTGAGTGCGATGCTCAGATGAGGAAAGATTTAGAGTAGTTTTATTTTCAAGTTGTACTTGCCTTTGAAAAAAAAAAGAAGTCGGCATATGCTTCTTTTTCTTTCTTTTTTCTTTTTTCTTTTTTTTTGCTTTGGCCTTGTCTTAAAGTTCAAATCTTTCACTTTTCTTATAACCAAATAATATCCATTAAACAAACTTCCAAGTGCATGAAAATCAAAATTCTGATATTCCAAAAAGCCCCCAATCACCAGCATTTCTCAGCAACCAAACGATACACAAGCAACTCAGAAAAATCATGCCCGAGATGAAAAGTCTGATATCCTTAGTGGAATCCTGGGCATCCAAAAGCAACAATTGACTGATAATTGCATCAGCCACAAAGTCATCGACGCTGTTCCCTAAGAACACAATCCTCTCCCTCAGCAGCAGCCCCATGGCATCAGCTTCGGCGCCTCTCGTGGCCGTGGCAGGCGTCTGAGGAGCAGAAAAGTGAAATGGGACATTGGGATTTCGAGGTCCATACCTAAAGTTTACGTTTTCAGGTGATTTCTCGGAGCGGCAGCGAGCAAGCGCCTGAGCGATGTTCTGGAAAGAAGGGGGCGGGAGGGGTGGAGATTAGGCGATTGAAGACGGAAGGGGAAGGGCTTGAAAGAGAATGTGGGAGGGCGCAGGGCTTGGAAGTTGGAAGTGATGTTGTAGGATGAGAATGACAGAATGAGAGCAAATCCATGGTAGAGTGAAAATGACTTAAAAAAGACAGACTCTCGTCTGGTGGGTAGCCGCAGCTAGACGCCTGTGAGCAGTGAACCCCGCAGAGTTCACCATTTTCCTTCCAGGTTGTAGCTGGGGTTTCGTACTCTCTCTTGCCATTGCAGTTGTGTAGGTTCTTTCTTTTTCAAACCCCTTGTTATAAAATTGATTCTTTTTAATAGCATCCAAACAAGGGCTCGAACGTAGGTTGGCTCAGCTAGTTAAAAAGTTTATTCATAGGCTCATAACCCTACAAGCTGAGATCAAATTTTGTTACCGACATGAACACCTTGTAGATAGGGGTGAGCAACAAACCCATTACCCGTTAGCCCGCCCATAACCCATAAAATTTTTGCCCATTTAAGCCCGCCCAATTAGCCCAAATAAGATATTATAAACGGGCGGGTTTAAATGGGCGGGGTAGCCCATTAAACGGGTTGGGCTATGGGCAAGGTATTGGGCTGCCCATACCCGCCCGTTTAAGTTTTAAGTTTTTAAAAATATTTTTATTCTTCATTTAATTGATGATATTGTTTCTCATTCATCTTTTATCAAACATTCATGCTTGTCTAAGCTTTTATTTTATCCTTTAGGTAAAAGTTGGAATTTTCAAAGTTTATGAGACTTTATGATTGGTGACTACTTTTATGATTTTATCAGACTTTAATTGTTTGCGAATCTAAGTGAGGTTGTGTGATTGAATATGGTTGATGTTATTTCATATTTGATTTGCTATTTGGCATGTAAAATTTATTGACAGTTTCATAAGGTTACATATACAAAATAACTATACTGAAAAAAATTTTAAAAAAATAAATGGGTTACCCCGTAACCCGGTCAGCCCAAACGGGCTGCCCCGTAGCCCATTTAATACGGGCTAAATGGGCTACTACCGGGTTATGGGTTAGCCCATGCCCATTTATGAATAAATGGGCGGGCTATGGGCTAACCTTCGGGTTAGCCCACCCCGCCCATTGCTCAGCCCTACTTGTAGATCAGATTCACTTGAACTTTTGATGTATATCCCATAAAAAGAAAAAAAAAGAAGGGAAAAAAGGCACTACCGAGTCCAAACCCCTTGTCTCGCTCTTCTTCCCAAATCATTGATTCATGATGTGCATGGATCGTTTTCATCTCCCTCATTACAAAGAGTTAAAGACTATGGAATCAATTCGTGCCAGAGAAACTAAATAGGAGCAAGATGATTGTTACACAAATCAAAAGGCAAACGATTGTTACTCTTAAAAGGTAGGCTCTCTAAGCATAAAACCAAGGTCTATGCAGTAGGTTGACAAGCAAATCAGTTAATGTAGCTATGAGCTAAAGAATTCAATCTTGCAAAGGGAAGGAAAAGAAAGTATTATGCTTAGATTAATTAATCAAAATTAGCATCTCTAACTTCAGTATAGTCTCTTAGCATGTGAAGATAAGAGTCAATAAAATTTAGATAAAGGAACATATGCTTTGGCTAACACTATTTTTTTTTTTTTGCATTAAAGGATTTCAAGACATTTTATAATCTCACATTGGAATTTTTAATTTTTAAATTCTTTAAAATAATTTCAAAACTTATTAATGTGGATAGTTTTAAGAGAAATTATTAGGTGTTTCTAAAGTAATATTTCATTTATATTTTGTTTAATTAGAGTTTTTAAAATTATAGCCACACATATAATCGGCTTACATTTTTTTAAATTATATTATGCAAAATTTGAATATTAAACTTCTATTCACACCTCACCTGCCTTTACCCACTTCAAGAGCTTTATATTTTATTTTTTTACCCTATTTTATCTCTCATTGAGATTTAAATTTCATTATCACTCTCTGCTTAAAACATATGTCTTCGCGTGAATCGTCCTCATCAAAGAAGAGCGTGGAAGAAGTTGATGTGCACATGAATAATGAGGACGGTTATGGTGGTAACGGCTCACAGGTTGGTCGGGAAAAGCAGAATACGTGGCCAGAGGGTGTGGGAAGTGTGAACAGTCCAGAGGAAAAATCTGCTGAGGCTCGAATTGAGTGTGATATTGGGCTTGCTAAGGACTGGGAAATGAATGAGGTCACAAGCCCACTAAAGTCAGATGGGCAGGGGCTTATGAGTTGCAAAGGTAAACAGAAAGTAGAGTCCAACCCAAAAGTGTGTCGAAAAATTACATTTAAGAGAGGGCCTCCTGAGATAAATGAGCCTGACAGTTTAGATGGGCCTATTAATGAGTCAAGTCCAGCTGCTGTCACAAAGGATTATACTACTAATGGGCTGGGCTTAAAGGAGAGTAATAACTCATCGAGACCTGCTAATGAGATGGCTGTAAGTGCATCAGATACAGCAGCACCATATATTGTAGAACTTCCAGACGAAAGTGAGGAAGGAGGATATGACTTACCAACTCAAGGGCTGTTGCAAATTACCTACGAAGGCACCTTGGTTCAAGAGATGAAAAAGGTCAGCTTAAAGCGAGCTCTTGATGAACAGTGGGAAACATCGAAATCAAAGAAAGCTAAAGTAGGGAATGAAGTCAGGTTCGAGAAAGCTGCGGAAAGGTCTCACAATAAGGAGAATGAAAGTCCTTTTGTGCTGGGAAAGAGCTCTCCTGTGTTGAAAAAAAACAGGAAAGGTAAGAAACTCTCAATGACTACTGATAGTAATCTGGTGGAGGTACCGGTTGTGGGTGTTACAGTATCAAATATTTTTGAAGGTTTAGACAAACAAGATTCATGCTGTGGTTCTTCTGTTGAAGGGCTTGGTGGTCAGCCTCTAATGACCACCAAGTCGCCATGAGTCTTTTATGCTGGAACTGTCAGGGGTTGGGGTCTCCCCTGACAGGCAGAAACTTAAGGTTTCTGTATAACAAGCACAGACCTGCTCTAGTTTTCCTCATGGAGACTAGGGTCAAGACGGATAAGGTAGAGAGATGGCGTAGAAGACTGGACTTTCAGAATAAAGTGTATGTTGAGCCGATTGGAATTGGGGGTGGTCTAGCTGTTTGGTGGAATGATGATATTCAGCTGCAACTTATTAAAGCTGATAAGAATATAGTCCATTTGAAGGTAGTAAAAGGTTTGGAAATGGATTCTGGATTCTTAACTCTAATCTATGGGCCTCCTAGGAAACAAGACCGAGGTAGTTGGTGGAGAAGATTGAGGGGTCTAGACCCAGGTGAAGCAGTGCCATGGCTTTGCTGTGGTGATTTTAATGATCTAATGTTTGATTTTGAGAAAGAAGGGGGAAATACTAGAGGGTTGAATTCTCTGGCTGAGTTCCAACACTTTATGATTCAGTGCAATATGGTGGATCTGGGATCTAAAGGCATGGAGTTCACTTGGTCAAACAAAAGAGTCAATGAGGCCCATGTAAAAGAGCGACTTGATCGTGCTGTTTGCAACACTGCATGGAGGGAAAAACATCAAAATGCCCAGGTATGTAATTTAGAACCTGTAGGTTCAGACCATTCCCCTATTCTCATTCATTCTAACTTCTTGGGGATAAGATGTCTTAAAGATTTTCAGTTTGAACTTAACTGGGTTGATCATAAAGATTACAGTGGGATTATTGACCAAACTTGGGACAGGAATATAGAGGATGGTGGGGGTATAGTTGCTGCTTTCACCTCTAATCTAAACAAAGTTAAAAATGTTCTTTTAAATTGGAGCAAGATTGAATTTCCTAATAACCAGAAACTCCTGGGGTCTCTTATGGAAGAATTCAGGAATTGTTATAAAGGGGTTTGGAATGAAGATTCAGCCATTAAGGCTAGAGAGATTGCGAATAAGATTGAGGAGGTGTGGGTAAGAGAAGAAAAATACTGGTACCAAAGATCAAGAATTAATTGGTTAAGTTGGGGTGATGAAAATTCTCGTTTCTTTCATAATATAACAGCCCAGCATAGAAGGAGAAATCGTGTGGTTTGCTTGAAAAATGATGCTGGAATTTGGATTGATGATCATGCTGAGATTACTTCCTGTTTTTCAAATTTTTATGCTGATCTTTTTGCTGGTTTTGAATGCCGAAATTTCAATTCTATTCTATCATATGTGGACCCTGTAGTCTCTGATTCTGATAATATTTGTCTTGCTGCTCCTATTTTGGATGAGGAAATAAAGAGGGCTGCCTTTGATTTGGGTAGCTTAAAGGCTCCAGGTCCTGATGGTTTCCCTGGACTTTTTTATCACCATTCTTGGGAGGTTGTTGGCCCTCAAATTTGCACAATGGTAAGAGACTTATTTGAAAATGATGGTGCTCTTTTGAATTTGAATTCTACTAATCTGGTCCTAATTCCTAAGATTGATTCCCCTGAGTCTGTGGGACATTTTAGACCTATCAGCTTGTGCAATTTCAGTTATAAAGTTTTCTCAAAGCTACTTGCTAATAGAGTTAAACCTGTTTTAAAAAAAGTAATTTCAGAACAACAGCGTGCTTTTGTTCCTGGAAGGATGATTCAAGATAATATTTTTGTTGTTCATGAGGCCTTTCATTTTCTCAAGAATAGGTCTGGCAAAGTTTTTGAGTTTGCTGTGAAACTTGATATGAACAAAGCTTATGATAGAGTTGATTGGGATTTTTTGGAGGCTGTGCTTTATAAAATGAATTTTCATCCAGTGTGGGTTAGGCAAGTTATGAAATGCATTTCTTCTGTGAGCTTTAATTTGAAATTGGAAGGAAGAACAATCAGTAAGCTAACCCCAAAGTGTGGCCTAAGACAAGGAGATCCTATTTCTCCTTATCTCTTTATCATTGTGGCTGATGTGTTATCTAGAATGATTAGTGAACATGTTAACAGAGGTGATTTACAGGGTATTAAACTTGCAAATGCTTGTCCTGTGCTTTCTCATTGTCTTTTTGCGGATGATTCGGTATTTTTCTTCAGAGCTACCAAGAAAAATTGTGATGTTTTTGCTAGCCTCCTTGATGATTATTGTTGGCCTCTGGGCAGCGGGTTAATTTTGAAAAATCTTTTGTTTTTGTGTCCCCGAATACTTCGGTAGAAGTGAGTAGTATGATCAGTAACTCTTTAAGAATTCCTGTTGCTGATTCCCCTGGTCGTTACCTAGGCCTTCCTGTTTTATGGGGAAGATCAAAAGTAGAGGCTTTGGCTTTTGTCAGGGATAAGGTAAGAAAGAAGGTTCTAGGATGGAATAAGAAGTTCTTATCACAAGCTGGTAGAGAAACTTTAATTAAATCTGTTGCTAATTCCATTCCTACTTACTCTATGTCTTGTTTTCTTTACCCCAAACAGTCCTGCATTGAATTGAATAGCATTATTGCTCATTTTTGGTGGGGTGGAGATGAGACTAATCGAAAAATCCATTGGAAAGCTTGGAGTCACTTAATCAAGAGTAAGCAAGATGGGGGTATGGGTTTCAAAGAGTTTCAAAACTTTAATTTGGCTCTTCTGGCCAAGCAATGTTGGAGAATCATGACTGAACCAACAGAGTTCTGGGTTAAGATTCTTAAAGGCATATATTTTCCTAATTCTTCTTTTTGGAAGGCTGGTAAAGGCTCTAGAGCTTCATGGGCTTGGACCAGTCTTCTCGAAGGAAGGAGAGTGTTGCAAGACAATGTGCTTTGGCAGGTAGGGGATGGTATTTGTATTAATGTTTGGGAAGACCCTTGGGTTTCTGCTTTACCTGGTTTTTGTCTTCCTGAATTGCAAATCCCTACAGAATTTAAAAACCTTACTGTTTCTAGTCTCATTGAGAATGGTAAGTGGAGTCTTGATAACATGGATCTTCCCAGGCATGTTGCAGATTCTATTTGTGCAATTGATTTGCCTCACTTTAGTTTTCATGATAAACTGATTTGGCTCAGGAATGCTAATGGTAGGTATTCTGTTAAAAATGGATACCAGTGGCTGCAGAGAGTTGATAGCTCAACTACAAGCCCAAGGCCCAGTACTTCAACGCCTCTAGATAAGCACCTTTGGTCTCTTATTTGGTCTCTAAAAGTTCAACCTAAAGTGAGACACTTTCTTTGGAAAGCTTGCTCTAAAGCTATTCCAACGAAAGGAGCACTTTGGCAGAGGCGGTGTGGAGTCACACCTTTTTGTGTACGATGTGATTCTTATATTGAAACGGTTGAACACTGCCTTTGCTTTGCTTTGTGATTGGGTAAAGCGGGTTTGGTTTGCTTCTCCTCTGTGTTTGAAGGTGCATGAGTTAAATGTTTCTAGTTTTGAAGTCTGGTTGCTTCAAACTTTAATAAATCTCAAGCATGATGAGTTTGCTCAATCTGTTGTGGCCTATATGTGCTGGTATATTTGGAAGGCAAGATGTACCCAAATCTTTGAATTTAGGCCTCCTGATTGTATTTGGCTTATTAATTCTGTTATGTGTAGTGTGAATGAGTTTTGGGCTGCTAGGAATTTCTTTAAAGATCAAGAACCTAGCAGATCTCAAGATGTTTCACCTAAATTTTGGGTCTCCCCTAACAATGATTCCCTTAAACTAAATACTGATGGTGCTTTTAATGCAGCTACTGGCAAAGGTGGAACAGGTTATGTCTTGCGTGACTCAGAGGGAAGGATGGTGGACTTTGGTTGCAAATCTTGTATAGTTTCATCGGCTTTCCATGCTGAAGCCGTAGCTCTCCATGAAGCAGTGTTTAAAGTAAAAGATCGAGATCTAGGCCGAGTGACTGTTGAGTCTGACTGCTTACCTCTAGTGAATGCTGTTTTGGATGACTCCCCGTGTCCTGATTGGCATGCTACAATTTTGGTTTCTGATTTACGATTTCTGTTTCATAACCACCGTTCCTTTACTTTAAAGTTTGCTCCTAGGACTTGTAATTTGGCTGCAGATTGGTTAGCCAAAGCTGGTTGCAAAGGGATGTGCCCTATAGGTTGGGACTTGTGTCCCCCATCCCTTTTTTTAAGTTTGCTTTCTTTTGATGCTGAGCATTGTAAGCAAGGAATCGGTTAACCTTGCGTAGACTCTTTCTTTGGAATATATAGTATTTCTTGAGTCCAAAAAAAAAAAAAAACATATGTCTTCTTTCAATTAACATTTTCCCCGCCATTTAACTTCTTTCTTCTCTCTCTCGCCCTCAAGTTTTGACTTCACAACTTTATAGATTTCAAATTTAAATAGTACTCCCTCCGTTCCTTATTATAAGAGACACTGATACTTATGTCATATTCCTATATATAAGAGACACTTACAAGTTGTCTCTACTTTTTTGTGATTTACTACTAGTTTACCTATATTTATTATCTCCAACTCACACTCTCTCTCCCTCCCACTCTCTTTCTTTTAATAATTTAATTGTTCTCTCTCATCTCTCTCTCCTTATTAATGAGGGCATTTTTGGAAAAAAATTATACTTTTTATACATAATTGTTCTTAACTAACTTTAACTGTTTTTTTGATCAATGTACTTCGGTTATTTATCTCTTATAATAAGGAACGGAGGGAGTAATATATATATTTATATAACTCTAGCATTGAAAACAACTCTCATTTTATTTTGTGCTTGTAAAAATGTTAGAAGTCACTTCTATTTTGATGAATCATGGACCAGCGGGATGCAGCTTTGATGAATCCACCTTTATGCAGGCATGTCTTCCTCAACGACACCAATGATGGTGGGGTTTTCAACCCCCCCCCCCCCCCAAATCCGAGAAAAGAAAAGGAATTTTATTTTATTTTATTTAAAAAATATGGTAAGGCTCTTTTCTTCTGGTTTAATAGCTCGAGATACACCTTGAATTCTTTTTATTCAAATTCTAGTACTTGAATTTCACTTAGTAATAATACTACCTCCGATCTTTAATATAAGACATTAATTGACTTTTATTTTGGTCTTAAATATAAAACTCCAATCTATTTTGCCTCTCATATTTATATATTTTTTTCCAAGATAGTCATTTTATTCTAATAATGATAATGATAATGTTAGGCAATACATTTGATTAGTAAGGATATTTTAGGAAATACAATACATATTTATTACAAATAACTAACTTAACTTATTTTCTTAACCTTATCAAATTAGTCAATTAGCTCTTATAATTAGGACCGGAGGTAGTATCATACACTAGATAAGTATATCAAACAAATCTTAAAAAATATAAATGAAAACTTAAAATTTTTTATTTTTTCTGTATTCTGTGTTTTATTGCTAAAATTGTTAAGTTATTTGCACTCTGATTTTACAATAAAGTGTTCTAATTGTGATTAATAATTGTGTGAATGATAAATAACAAATACTTGGGAAACAAGTAAACAAGCAATTAAAGAAGGTCAAACTTATTAGGTTAGCAACAGTTAAACTGCTAAAAGAACCGAGTCAGGCAACGATGGTTGGGATTGAACTTAATTGGTCCACCACAAGTCGGCTTTCAGAGTCGTAATTTCAAAACACTAGACTCACAGGTTAGACTAGAAACAAAGAAGACCCATCTTCCTTATATCGCGGTCGTAACCCCAACCCACCACGAAACTGCCTGTCACTGCACATTCATGAATATTTTGTAGTCTAGTGTTTGACCACTCTCTCCTTCTTGTTTTTTTTTCCTTCCTCACAAAAGACAAACGAATCCACTGATCTGCCGGATCGGCATCTGACCGCCAGGGTGGGACGGGTTGCTACACAATGCTGATGACAATTCCGAGACCCAGATACTTGGAAGGAAGTCCTATGCTGAAAATGATGGTCTGAAAGATCGCAATTTAGGTCACTATTGAATCTCTCACCGTTGTTCCGGAGCTCGGTAAGTCGTCAGATCGCGTTTCCTCTGTCACTGTACTATTTTTTTCAACTGGGTTTCCGGATCTGAAACTGTTTTATCCATCGTTCTTTTTAAATTTCAATTTTGAGATTTCCTGCGAAAGTTCAGTTTTTTTTTCCCTGTTAGATGAGTAATGGCTTTAACCGACAAGAGATGATGTGAATCTTGACCTGCTGTTGAATCGGGTACGCTTTATTTGGATCTGTCCCGAGCAATGCCATGTGAAATGGTGTCATATTGGTCGGGCAAAATCCTAGAGCGTCACCATTTCAGATGGGTTTCTTCCTCTCAATCATTGCTGTTTGTTTATATTTGTTGTCACTCTGAAACTTCCAAGGATTATCTGGGTTTTGTTTTAAGCTGTTTCAGTTGTGAAATAACTTATGTACCATGTCACCAATGAGTCCAAAAGTAACGAAAGTAAAACTTAAGAGCAAAGGTGTGAATGTGTATGTAGGTGAGGGAGGTGATGATCCATGGAGTTCAGTGAGCATGAGAGCATGACAGTTCGAGAAGTCTGTGCAAATGGGAGTTACATGGGAACAGCAGAAGTTGAAGCAAAGCTTGATGAAGGAGATATTCAAGAGGCAGAATCTTCGTTGCGAGAAGGGCTATCACTCAATTTTGAGGTCAGTTTCCCTATAAGTGAAAATTGTTGGTTAGAATAGCAATTAGACCTAAATCGTTGTCACATTCTGTAAATATAACGCAAACTACCCATTAGATGTATGGTAGTCATAGAAATATGGTATATTGGGAAAACATCTGGGGGATAAGCTGATCATGTATTTGAGTTATGCTCTATGGTCACTTGATTGCTTTTTTACTTTAACAGGAAGCAAGAGCACTTCTGGGCAAGTTGGAGTATCAGAGAGGGAATGTGGAAGGCGCTCTTCGTGTGTTTGATGGGATTGATCTCCAAGCTGCCATACAGCGATTGCAAACTTCCCTTCCTGAAAAACCATTAACCAAGAAGGGGCGCAATCGTACTGAACCAGCTCCTTCAGTCTCTCAACATGCTGCTAGTCTGGTGCTTGAAGCCATCTACTTAAAAGCGTGTTCATTACAAATCCTAGGGAGATTAACTGGTATCAAATTATGTTTTAAATTTATCACACCTGTTGTTCTCTTTGCTATTCCTGTTTTGCTCCTGAATGAGAATCAAATCTCTGCTTTGAATATTCTGCAGAAGCTGCAAGTGAATGCAAAAGTGTGCTTGATGCTGTTGAGAAGATATTTTATCAGGGTATACCTGATATTCAGGTAGACAATAGATTGCAAGAAATAGTCAGCCATGCTGTAGAGCTCCTTCCAGAGCTTTGGACACAGGCCGGGTGCTATCATGAGGCAATATCTGCCTATAGACGAGCCCTTCTTAGCCAATGGAATCTTGATGATGATTGCTGTGCAAGAATTCAGAAAAATTTTGTTGTATTTTTGTTGTACAGTGGGGTAGAAGCTAGCCCACCCAGTTTAGCGGTTCAGATTGATGGGTCATATGTACCTAAAAATAATTTGGAAGAGGCAATTCTGCTTCTTATGATTCTTATCAGAAAGTTTTGCCTTGGTAAGACCAAATGGGACCCATCAGTGATGGAGCACCTGACTTTTGCACTTTCTATATGTGGCCAAACGTCTATTTTGGCTAAGTCACTTGAAGAGCTATTGCCTGGAGTATATAATCGGCTTGATCGTTGGAAATATTTAGCTTTATGTCACAGTGGAGCTGGGCATAACAAAAGTGCTTTGAATCTACTGCGGAGGTCTCTGCACATTCATGATCGACCAGATGAGGTTATATCACTGCTATTGGCTGCCAGGATCTGCAGTGAGGATCCTCAACTCGCTCCTGAGGGAGTAGTTTATGCACAAAGGGCAATCACAAGTGCTCAGGGACCAGATGAGCATCTTAAAGGTGTGGGTCTCCGAATGTTGGGACTTTGTCTTGGAAGGCAAGCTAAGGCTGCTTCCTCTGACTCTGAGAGGTCTCGCCTTCAGTCGAAAGCTTTGAAATCATTGGAGGAGGCAGCTGGGTTGGAGCCAAAAAATTCTGATCTGACTCTTGAGTTGGCTGTTAAATATGCAGAGCACCGAAATTTGACTGATGCTCTGTGCTATGCAAAGAAATTCTTTGATGAAACAGGTGGCTCTATATTAAAAGGTTGGAGAATGCTTGGTCTGGTTTTGTCTGCTCAGCAAAGATTTTCAGAGGCTGAGGTAGTCACAGACGCAGCTCTAGATCAAACTACAAAATGGGAACAGGGGCCACTACTTAGGCTGAAAGCAAAGCTGAAGACCTCCCAATCACGGTACATGGATGCTATTGAAACATATCGGTACCTCCTTGCATTGGTTCAAGCCCAGAGAAAATCCTTTGGCTCACTATTTACTAGTTCACAGGTAACATTTGGTCAGTTATTTAAATTCTCTGCTTGTTGTAGGATTTTTTTTTTTTCCCATTTTAATGATAAGCAGACATATCACTTTGCTTTAAGCATTAGATAACTTCTTCACTCAAATTATTTGTGTGATGTTCTAATATGTTTATGTATGTAGGTATGCATCACATGCTCCACCCAAGATTGAGTTTGCCTATATAGAATTGCTATTCCCATAGAATTGAATTCTGCAAAAATCTAATTTGATCCTATTGCTTTGCTTTGGTTTCCTTTGTCTTAGAGATTAAGTGCTATCTAAAATCCCAATTCTATTTTTGTATTGGAGCAAGCTTCCTCTCTAAACTTTCATATCGAAGAGAAGAAAACGTGAAGGTTTTTATATGTTCATTGTTTTGTGGAACTCATCATTACTTAAATGTTGATTCATTAATTCATTGTTTTTCTTTTATTAACCTCTTTTAGGCTGATGATGGTAAAGTAAATGAATTTGAGATTTGGCATGGTCTGGCAAATCTATATGCTAGTCTTTCTCATAGGAAGGATGCTGAAATATGTCTGCAAAAGGCCAAAGTGTTGAAGCCCTATTCTGCAGCATTGATGCACACCAAAGGCAAGAACAGAACCTTTAATCTTCTCAAAGCTTTTTTGTTCCTGTGCTGGGACTTTTTTCTTTCGGTTCTATTTTTAATCTAATTGAAACCACGTCATTGTCCCATTCGAGGCAGGTCTCAGTATTCAATCGTAGGCCTGCAATTCTGGCCTGCTGGGACATTACTTTTGATGTAGGCCCTAGGCCTATGGCCTGGATTCACTTATGATGGGTTTAAAGCATTAAATAGAACATGAATTCACTTATGATTGTAAAGCAACATCCAAATGCCAAAGATGTGAAAATAGAGCATAAATACATCATGGGTTGGCACGAAGCAAAGACTTGTTGGGTACAAAATTTTATGCTGGAAAATTGAATTTTTTTTCTATTTGGTTCTTCCTACAGGTCTAATATTCGAAGGACGTGAGGAAGATCAAGCTGCTCTTGGTGCTTTCTTCAGTGCATTCATGCTTGATCCAAGCTACGTTCCAAGCAAGATCTTGTTGGGTTCTCTGATTCTAAAACTCGGTCCAAAAGGTTTGCCTGTGGCTAGAAGCTTACTTGCTGAAGCTCTGCGAATAGACCCCACGAACCACAAGGCTTGGTATTATATGGGTATGGTTCACAAAGAGGATGGTCGGATGAGTGATGCTGCTGACTGCTTCCAGGCAGCCTCCATGCTTGAAGAATCGGATCCGATTGAAAGTTTCAGCTCTGTTCTCTGACTCAAGTGTAAATGGTTGGTCCATCTTCAGAGTTCTTTGGAAAAAACATGCTCAAGACAGTTTTGGAAGTGCAGTCGAGTTGTGGGTTTTGTTTTTCATTGTATTTCTTGTAATCGGCATAAACTAGGCTTGGAGAGAGGAAAATTGGTTCAAACAATTGTTTAATGAATAAGGAGAAAAGCAAAAGAAAAGAAAAGAAAAGAAAAGGGATTGATGTCAATCTAGTTGTAGGATGAATGTATAAAGAGCTTAGACTGTTTTCTTATGTCTGTTTAACTGCTGATCAGCCTTGTAAATGTATGTTGATGAACAATGAAGTTCCACTAAGAGATCCGTTTATCTTCTCAAGTAGTTTATTAGTGACGCCATTAAGGCTGGGGTTGGAATGTGGAAAATGGAATTTGTGGAGAGGGAAAATGTTAGAGAAAGCATGTTTATTATATTTGATGGACAACAAAATGATTTTTTTTTTAATGGAAAAGAGAACTTTATATATTTATAGGAGAAAATTATCTTATTTTGCGTCATGCTATTATATAGCATTTTAAACAACCCCACTTCTGGCAATATGATATCAAAATGCATTAATGTTCCGTTGGTTGGTAAATCTTTTAGGAAATAGATAATTTTGGGTTCTGCTCCCATTATGGCTATCTTTTCCCAAATAAAGTCATCACAAATCCGATACCTTATCAGCCGTTGCTCTGCTGACTGGCATTAAAAATGGTAAGCTTTGCTTTTTTTTTCCCCCCTTAAAAAGGACATTTGTTAATTAAGCGTGAAAACTTATTTACATTTTGCAGCCTGAGGACTGCAATTTTAATTTTAGATTTCGTGGAGCTTTATTGAATTTAGATTTCTTCCACTGGATGTAAAAGTATAATTGGTTCATAAAAATTGCATCTTATTTTTTTTATACAAAAAAAATGCATTTTAGGATTATAAACGAATCCCTTGTTTTTTTCGCTTTTTGGTATTACAAACGAATCCATTTTCTCCCTTGAAAGTTCAAACGCAATATTGAACGCCGACCCAAAAACGCAAAACTAATTTGGCACAAAACTAATTTGGGTTCGGGATGAGCTCAATCCAAATCAACATGGGCCAGGAACTAGGGTTTCTCGTGGACTGCCTCTATATATCATCCGGATTTCCAGAGCCTCCAGGATTGTGTCAAAGCAGCGTCACTCGCGAAATGCTTCGATCGGCGTTGGAAATTGCCATCTGAGATGGGGCTCATCAAGCTCCAGTCTCCAACGTCAAACAGGCATATGGGTTTCTCTCGCCTTCATCGCCTTTGTGATTCTTTTTCTCTTACACTTTTGCATGCTGGGTTCTTTGCTATGGACTATATACTATCCATGACAATTGAAACGTTAGTATCTATTATGTTTCGCTCATTGTCATCTTGCAATCCAGTTTTAGTTTTATTTACCATTATCGTTTTGAGGAGTATGGATTTTGATGATTAATCCGGGGTATGGTGTAATGGTTGATGGGCATTGCACTTTAATCATAGGCCTTCTCTCTGATATTTGATAGTTTGGCCTGAGCAAGGTGCAGAAAGTGAAATTTATTCAGCCATCTTATTTTGATGGTTAGTGATGGATCCACAGGTCAGTGGCTTTTGTCTGCTGCTTGCCTACTAATTCCATCTCACATATCTTGTTTTCGTATCATTCATTAACATGATTTTTTTCGATCAAAGGTAGTCTTAACTGTTGATATGTTGAATGTTTTGGATGTTTGTAATCTGACACAGGAATAATTAACATTTCATGTAAATGCTTGACTCTTACCCATTTACTATAATCCAATAATACACATCCCACCATCACCTTCGGGAACCTTGTTCTCTGTGGAGATTTGGAAACTTTATTAGCATTTTTATGGAAAGATGGGATAATGGTAGTTGTAGTGTTATCTTGTTATGTCTCATGGAGTGCTCAGGTATGAGGCTTTGGGATTGCACTTGTATCGTAGGTCTCTCTTACTCAATAGGGTGGCCTTGAGCTTCAGTGCACAGAGTGAAAGCTGTTTAATCAGCAGGCAGCCAGACAACTGCTGAGATGGATCCACAGATTAACAGCTCAAAGTGCTGTTGTCTACTAATTCCATCTCACAATTTTGTAATCATTTTAATTCCAAAGCCATGGGACTCCGTACTATTATTTGAACTATTTTGCATTCTTTCGGTAACTTATGATTCAAAAGTGCCCAGGATGGTAGTATGGTAATAACCTTCATATTGCAAGTCTTGTTGAAAGCCGGATAACTTGGTCTTAAGTTCTATTGTTGTGGAACATACAGGGATAACAAAAACCAAATAAAGATCTAATTGTGCACAATAAAAACTTGAAGTACCAATCCTAATTAAGTAATGCAAAAGAACATTGCATTGATTCAAACATCAAAATTGATAACGGAAGCCTAATCTTGACATTATTTTAATGTAGTTAATGACCATTCAGAACACGGAAAACAATTTAAAATGTGTTTTTTCAGACCCTGCACTGCTGCCTGCTGGTGGTCTTATAGTCAATTATTTTACTTTTCGGAACGTGAAGTATGTGGAGATGGGCAAATCTGAGACTTGCTAAATGTTGGTGTGGGATCAGTATTTATGTCTTTCGCAAAGCAAGATCCATGGTTGCTATACGTAGTAATGAGGAAAGCGAGGGAGGTCCTAAAGTTCCACTTAGCCATCGTAGACTTGACAACTTATGTATGTTAGATTTCGCAGTTCATAATGATCCCAGCATTTTGTGCAGATTATTTTTTGTAAATTTGACGCTGCCGAAATGTTGCATGGCTATTACGGATCTTGAGACTTGAGAATGTTCAGCCGGGCTAGCAAAAATGAAAAAGAATTCTTGTTTTATGTTGTTGGATGCACTTTTGTTTATGGTATTAATTAAATCATAACACATCTGTGTGTGTGTGTGTGTGTGTTTTGAAATTTGAAAAATGAGAATGCTGTAATGTGATTATGGGTATGGATTTTGCGGTACTTTCTCAAATACAAGACATTTTGCCATAAATTTCATGAAATGCCTTGTATTAAAAGCATCAAATTTTTTGGTCTGTCTAAAATGCCTCATATTTAAAAATGAGGTAAAAATATTGATCAGTTTATTACTTTGATTTATGCAAAAACTCATCCATACACCTAAAACTAAACAATGGCTGCTGCGACCTGTGGGAATCATGAAAAATGCTCTGGCTCTGAGAAGCACGAAAGGGTCAAGTTTCGACTCATTTTTTGCCGATAAAACTGCTCTTGAAATTTTCGTTTCGGTTCTTACAAATAACACTTTCTAAATGATAATACAACAAGTGAATCGCAAGATTTCGACTTCCGGATGTAAATTTCACTAGAGCCAGAATGCGATGCTTTTTCTCGAGTGAAAGCAAGAACGAAGGCACCCCATGTAGTGGATATTTTTACTCCTACAAATGCAATAACAGCGCCCAGAGGTCCCAAGGAGACCCAACAAATAATCCACGAAAAAGTGGCCATTTCTAATATGAAGGTCAACTAGATGAATTATAAGACAAGCTGACAAAATTGATGCTGCAAATCTATCAATCTAGTATTAAGAAACCCCAGACCTTGTACTATTACAGGGCAAAAGTTCCACCCTTCCATCATTCTGCTAAATTACAGCTCTTCTTCTTGGGTATCATCCGAACTTTGAAGATGGCTTAGCTTAACCCGTGCCTTTTTTGGCTGCGGCGAGAATTCTGTTGCATCATCTTCATCACCCTTCCTCTTATTTCCATCATCATTTTCTTCGTCCAGTGGACAAGGAGATTCTGCACCAGGATTATCTTCAGGTCCTGATGTGGATGGCTTTAGATCACCTTCTTCAGCTTTCTCTTCCTTGCTTGATGGCTTTAGATCACCTTCTTCAGCTTTCTCTTCCTTGCTTGATTCTCCATTCTTTCCCAACCTTTCACGTTCCTCTAGAAATGAACGGACTTCTTCATTGGAGGCAAGGTCCAAAGGGGTCTTTCCGGCCCTAGTCTTGGCACCAAGGTTTGCCCCCTTCTTCACCAAGTACTTGACAAGTTCAAGACGGGACCCTTGGGCAGCATAATGAAGCGCAGTCATGCCTTTGCGAGTGGAAGCTTTGACAGGGGCCCCAGCTGAAAGTAGGGCACGAACAACATCTAAATGTCCCTTCTGTGCAGCAAAGTGTAACGCTCCCATGTCATCCATGGCAGCAGCACCAACTTCAGCCTTGTTCTTGCAGAGATAATTGACTACCTCTGCTTGCCCAGACCATGCTGCTAAATGTAGTCTATGGTCCAAAGTTTCTCGTCAAAGAAACTATATAGTAACACGAGAAATCTACACTAAGATCCCAAAATAACAAGAAAACCACATCATACCCAACTTATATGTACATTGTTACTATGTAAGCCTAGCATAAAATGATAAAAGGATGAAATGCAGAAAAACACTCGGAAGCCACATCCATAGGAACAAAGGGAATATTTATTATTATTATTCTTTTTTTTTTTTGACAAAAGGATAGATGATTTTAACAATAAATATCATGGGACTATGAGGATGAAACTTCTGTAGGCACAAAATATGCAACATGCCAACATCACTCTTTTATACCAGAAAATTTTGAAATCTCAGTTCCACGTTGAAGTCTCCCCAACAAAAACATGGCTTTTCCAATCTATTAGGCACGCAAGAATTCATCATCCGCTTGTCTCTCTAAGCTGGTCAACGAGAGCCATTTTGAAATGCTCTCGAAAATTAGTTTTGAAAAACAGAAGATACAACACAATTAAGAACAAGAAAAGGAAAACAAAGAGGGAAAAAACTTAAGCTCAACAAATACACAGCGAGAAACTAGGCAATGCTTATTCAAGACTAGAATGTTGTAATTTTAGATATGAACACTTCCTTTGCAGTAAACTTGCTTAGAGCTTCGGGGTAATTATGCTCACGCACCCTTTGTATTCTTTAACGCACATGATCCCTTTCACCGATCACCACTGCCCTTCTTGAAATATAACATTTTCAGGTGACAGTGTTCATACTTGAAGTAAAGACGTTATAATCATCATTAAGTAACCCATAAACAGAAAAGAATTCGGACTTCAAATCCGCAACAAAATAAAAGTACATAGGGGACACTAGCAGGCGACAAAACCAATCAATAATATCTTCCTCGCACTAACAAACATCAAGAATCAAGATAAACAGCTAAATTTTAACAGAAGCTGCTCCATTTTCTATTAAAAAAATTAAGACGAATTTATGACAATAACGTTTTAGGCATACCACCACATCGGAAGGTTTTCCAGACATGCCGTTGTTAGCAGCCGGCTGAAACCAACAACAGCACAGAGGACAAAACCACAGTTATCTAACCCCCTTTAACCAATCAGTTTAGCTTTTCCCAGCAACCGAGAGATTTTTGAATTTTTTAAAAAGAGAATCTTAGGGTTCCAAACAGCCAAATAAATGGCAGATAGAGAAGGTAAAGAAAGTAATAATTTTGTGAGAAAGGATACGGTGTTCGAGAGTGCTTATCTCTGGAATTGATGGCCAAAGGGTTCGTACTCAAAATTGACTGAACAGCGGTGAGGTCACCGGATCTTGCGGCCGCGTGGAGGTCGTCGCCGGCCTTCGTGTTCTGCGGATTACCCATCTCCCTTTTCAGTGCCTCTTGCCACTGGAGAAACTGTTAGCCTCGAACTCAGTACTCTCTCTTCCGGAAACACGATTGAACTCTCCCGGTCTTCTTCGTATCCTCTTCTCCTCTCAGCTGCTTCCAGTCCTCTAGACGCTCTAAACGAATCCTCTCTTCCCTCGCCTCGCATTTCCGGTTTTCCATTTCACTTTTTTTAAGGAAAATTAAAAAAAGGGCTAAAAGCCAAAAATTATATTTAGGCGACTCACGTTTACCTTATTTCATTTTACGACTTACACAAAATTTTATTTCTTTTTTAAATCATTTTTTAAAGTTTAACTCCTCAAGAAAATCATCCAAATGTTATTTTCTCCCTCTTATACTCTCGAGATGCCTAATAGACTAGCTTTATGCAACTTGTTCATAGTTTAAATTACCTCTTCACATGTTGGCACAAAAAAAAAAATTTACCTCTTCACATATTGAGGATAATAACTCTTGCCATAAATAATTATTAGGAAAAATTGATTAATCAATTAATCAATTCCTATAGTTTTTTTTGAAAAAAAATCTACACTTCAAAAATATCATTATTTGAAAAAATATATATAAGAACTCATCTCTTAATCCTTTTCGATTGTTCAACTGGGTTAATACGCTAGTCCTATTTAGTTTCATATTAAGCTAGTTTTAGTAATTAGTAGTGTACAAAACTGAACTGAACCCAGATAAAATTGAATTCAGATTATCTGGTTTGATTCGATTTTCAATTGAAAAACTTGAATAAATTAAGGTTATGTTTGGATTCTTATTTTTCTCTTCTATTCTTTCCGTTTGACTCATATTTTTAATTTTTAATCTATTATTATTTACTTGTAATTAAAATGTACTTTTAGTGAGGGATCTTAGACTCTCAGAGCTCATTGGCTCAAGAAACCCACACCCCACCCACAAAGTCTGGTTCACCTTCAGCTGCACCAATCTACAGTATGCAATGGCTCCTGGACAGTGAAGCACAAGTAATTAAATGATTTCATTCAGATGCTAATTATTAAACTTAATTACACTGTCCATGACAGTTGAGGACCAGGAAAGCCAACCTAGACAAAGACCCTGTAGACACTGTAACTTCCATTTCCCATGGTATTCTATACACACTTGTTTACATGTTTCTGATGATTACCACCACCCCATCCATCCATTATAGCAATAAACAGCTGATGGAAGCCAAAGCTCCCATAGTACAGTAGTTGCATTCAGAAATGTTGGACACGACCAGAATCGTACTCCATAATGCATAAACTCTCTAATATAAGGATCAACTTTGTTCTATCAAAGAATGACTGCTCTCCCGATTGTCAAAATCTGGGAGCTCAGAACTGACTGAGAACTTTAACCATCCCTTTTTCTCTGCAAATTTAAGACAAGGCTGGAGTATGAGACCAATGAACACAGCAATGAGGCTTACGACCAAGACCTTGAGAGAGGACAAAGCTAACACAAAACCAATCGTTATTGTAGGAGGTACGCATAAAAGAATTGCTCCTGCTGTTCCACCTGGAATCTTGTAAGGCCGAGATGCATTGGGGTGTTTGATCCTCAACCATATGAATGCTATGAACTCTAAAATCATTCCACAGGAGTACAAGAAGTTCTCAGCTGCAACAATCTCGTTAAAGCTCAGCCATGACAGTAAAATTACACCTGACGCTGAGAAAAGTATTCCTACAAGAGGGGTTCCATGTTGAGATCTCTTGCTAAAGCATTCAGGTAACATTCCCCTCTCAGCCATCCCCAGAAGTTGAAACGAATCACTGCTCATCTCAGCAACAAACATACCCATGTTTGCCATTGCAGCAGCTGCCTGTAGCCAATAACTCAACCAAACTCCTCCGATGATCTTGGCTATATCAGTGAAGTACCCATCAGTCCACAATGAGCGTTTGAGAGGAACAGCACCAGTACCGATTAGAAGTGGGAAAAAATATCCTAAAACTACTAGGATCAAAGCATAGAATAGAGCCTTTGGAAGAGTTTTGTTTGGTTTATCCACTTCTCCAGCAAGAGTACTTATGGAATCCCAGTAGTTAAGATTCCAAAATAGAGTATTCAGATACAAATTCCAATCCACATTATTTAGATCCACCACCAACCATCTTGAAGGTTTCAAGTCTGGAATCGCTATAAACCCCATAACCACGAAAGGAAGGAGTGAGAAAACACCTAAAACAATAGCAATCCATCCCACAATGGTTAAACCCCTATAATTCAGATATGTGAGTACTATTGTCAATCCCCAGGCTGCAGCAATTCTTGGAAAGCCACTGGCTAAAGCAGGGATATCTGATTTAAGATAATCAAGAAAGAGAACTGGGTATAGGGCATTATCAATCACCCCACTGAGCCATTTCATCCAACCTTGCTGAAACGCCCAATAGGGACCCAATGCAGAAGAAACCCAAACCACATAGCCGCCATTTTCAGGGAACATGGTACCCATTTCTGCAGTAATTAAAGCTTCTGGGACACTCCATATGAATGGGAAAACCAAGAAACCAAGAAGGGCTAACAGAGGACCTGCAGCCTGGACTGTATCCTCTATGCCAAAAGGGCCCCCAGAAACCTCATAGAAGATGATGAACATGAGAGGAAGAACCGAAACCTTCTTCAAGTTATTTGCCGTGGGGGAGGGTAATTCATCAACGGTAACGTAGTCATTCCCATTGTGCTGCCTCATTGCAGTAACCTCCCGTGTGTTTGGTGCGGTCCTTAGCTTCTGCACCCAGAAAATGGCTTTCCAAGTTAACAAACATAAAACAGAAAATACTTATATGTCACCAGTAAAGAGACAAGTTCTCTAAGCAATATAAGAAAAGTTTTTTTTTTTGCCAATAAAAAAAAAAGCAAATGAAACGAAATGGAAATAAGGGACAGAAAGAAATGAAATATACCGATCCGTTTAAGACCAAGCGCCTATATCAGCAATCGTGGAAAAGAAATCATATAACGTTGAAAGGTCAGGTAAGTATTATGGAATCAGATAAAATAATGAGACTAAAGACTACGGAACACAAGATGGAGCTACTGGTTCCCTGTACGTCTGATGTCTCGTTTCAGCCACATGAATAAGAGGAGTAAGCATAGGGTAGGTGAATGAAACTATGAGACTTCTTGTTGGTTCTGAGAGACCGGGTATGAGACTGAGAGGCTGCAGAATGGAAGGTAAGACGGGCAGAAGGACATAAATACCCCCTTCGTCTTTAATTTTACAGGCACATTATGCTTTTTTAAAGTTAATACGTCATTTTTTTCTTAAATTTATAAACATGGGCAATATTGCTTGGATAATAAGCTATCGTATTTCTACCTCTATGTCTATAATTATATATAATAATTTTTTTAAAAATATAACCCGCTATATTGATAGATTATGCTGCTGGATTCAAATAATGACTCCCACAAATACACAATTTAATTGGTTAGAAAAAAGACAAGATAAGAAGATGATGCGGAAGCTGTTCCGCGAAAATGGCGTAGTAGGGTGTACTTTCTGGGCCAGATTACGTTAACAACAGATCGAGAGAGAAAGGGGGGGGGGGGGAGGCGGCAGCTAACCTCTTGGCTTTCAGAAACACCATCAGGTGGCGGCTGAATGTCACACCCCCCCGCTGGAGGAGGCGGGTTCGCGGCGACTATACCATCGTACTCGCCGTTGTGAGCAGTAGTTCCTCCTTCTTCCGGTGATCGGGCAACCTCCTCGATGGCCATGGAGCCGCACCTTGCCGACCCAGAAGGAGACGAAGGAATAATTTAGAGGAATAAATCAGCTTCCAACTTCCATGGCGTTGCAGTAAATGCATTTATAATCAAACGAATTTAATATCATTATCCCAATTAAAAACTCTGATATTTCAATTCAGATTTAAATGCGAGACAAGTAGAATAATGAAGCGCATAATTTAACATGTATGACTTGAGGCTCAGAAAACACTACAATCTTATATCGGCAGTAGGATTCCATCGCATGATCTTATAGGTTATAAAATCTCTTTGATTAAAAAAAAAAAAAAAAAGCTAGTAGTATAACTAGCAAACTTTGATATGAAAAAGCTAGCCCCTTTTGTTTATGAAAGTTTCAAGAAAATCCAACTCGATCATATCGTCCTTCTTATTCCTGTCCAGCTAACTAATAAACTTTTCCTCTCTTGACTTTTATGTTCCGTTTGGATGGAAAAAAAGTTTAGAGGAAAGAAAACAGAGAGAAGAAAAAATTAGAGAGAAAATGTTATCTTCCTTTCTATTTGGATGAATGAGAAAAAACAAAAAAGAAAAAAAATGAGTAAATATATAAATGACAAAAATACCCTTATTCTTATATCAAAATATATCATGTTATAAATTAAATTAAATGTCATAATAAAAGAATCCTATTAGTGTTGATATCATTAAATAATTTAAAATCAAATTATTTGATAAAAATATATTACAACGTGATTATATTGTAAAAGCCAAATAATTTAGTAAAAAATATTCTTTTTAAAGGTAAAAATTAAATTTTTTTAAAATCAAACATAATAAAATGATATAAATAAATTATGTATAGGTTATTAATAAATAATAAAAATTTAATATAAAAGTTGAAAGAGATGAAGAAATTATATTATATATATTAATTTGTGCGAATTTCTTGCATTGTTCATTGAATGAGAAAGGATAGAGTTCATGTGTAGCTTTTGATTTTAGCCACAAATATAATGAGATAATTTTGTTGAATTATGAAGCAGTCATAAGTAAAATTAAAAAAAAAAACTTGTATTAAAAGTAGAATGTGATATTAATGGACTATATTTGAGAAGGGCATATGGGAAATACGAGTTTTCTTCTCATTTTCTCTCCATATGTGAAGAGAAAATAAAGTGAGTCTCACATCTCATTTTTTTCTCTTACTTTTTTTTCTTCTTACTTTTCTCTGCTCATCCAAACAGAAGAAAACTCGTTTCTCCTCCCATGTTCTTCTTTCATTTTCTTTTCTTTTTTATTTTCTCTCCATCCAAACATAGGGTTTTAAAATTATAATTTAAAAATCAATTTCTTGTTTTCCATATTTTCAGTTGGCACGACTTTCAAAAATGGCTAAAGATCACGCCAGTAGCCTCCTGTTGCTTACTTATCATCAGATACACGGAATTGGATTCTCTCCACTACCCTTCCCATCCTCTTCCCCTCCACTACCCTCTTTTTCTCTTCACAACCATTGGATCAAAACTCCAATTGTCCAGATTTAATATTTTATAACATTTTATAAAAATAAATATTATGATAAAAAATAAATAAATAAATTTAAACTGTTAAAATCTAATCTGAACAGTTCATAACTACAGACTGTTATTATAAAACAAATTTTTTTTAATACAATTGTAAACTGTTCAGACCAGATTTTAACAATTTAAATTTATTTTTTTAATAATATTATTTTTATAAGATGTTAAATCTGGACCATTGGAATTTTGATCCAATAGTTATGAAGAGAAAAAAGGGTAGTGGAGGGGAAAGAGGATGGAAAGGTAGTGGAGAGAATCCAAGTCCCAGATACACAAGGGGAAGCAAGGATCGCGGTTTTCTCGTTATTTGAGGGACGAGCAATTCGGGGGGAAAATCGAGATCATCGAAGTGTTTGAGTGAATAATCAAAAGCCAATGTGAGATTTCAGTCCCTAGATAATTAAAATATTTTAAGTGTTAAATGTATCAAAAATTATTTCAGAATACGGCACGCTAAATATTTTAGAATGTCAACTGCTAAATATTAGATGCTGCTGAAAAATATTTTACACTATTAGGCACAAGATTTCAAATACTGGATGATATTAAAAAAATATTTTAGAACAGGAAGAGTATATTTTAGGTTCCTAGGTACCACTTAGAAGGGAAAAATGCTCACCATCCCCCATTTTATTCCAAAATGGTGTAGTTTTGGGTAGAAGATGAGCAACAGGTAAGAAAAAGGAGGGAAGTTAGATGCTCCTAAAATAATTTTTTTAGTATTGTCTAATATCATTAAGTAATTTTTTGTACATCTAGCATTTAAAGTATTTTTAGTAACACTCATTATCGTAAGTTTAGGGTGTTCATTGTTACTAAAAGAACAAATTAAGAGTATAATCGCAAAAAAAATTGGTTTAGTAGTTCTATTAAAAACATTTTAGGATGCTAAGTGTATTAAAAATTATTTTAAGATATCAGATACTAATAGGATAATACTTCAAGCTATTGGATGTTCTTAAGAAAAGAAAAAAGAAAAGAAAAGAAAGTGCCCCCATCACCATTTTACCTCAAAAAGGGTGTAGTTTTGGGGTAGAGAACCGTCCGCTGCCTAAAAGAAAAAGGAGATAAGCCAGGTCCACTTTTTTAGGTTTAATATGACTTAAAAGTTTTAAAATATAGAAATAGTGTTTCATGTCATTAAAAAAACTAATATTGGCTATTAAAAAATTGATATTGATTCTCGATATTTTTAATGGTAAAAAACAATATTGCTCTATTTTAACATTTTTAGGTAACCTTGAACAAAAAAAAAACCTTCTGAGAGTGTTTGGATGTAGTCTTTTTCAACTCTTAGTTGTTAACCCGCCTTTTTTTAAAATTCTTTTCAAATTTTATTTTAATTTCGTGCAAAATTTTTTTATTATTTTTACTCAATTTACATATAGATTTGTATTTTGTTAATTCTAAATTTGATTTCTTATATTTTTATTGTTTTACCATTTTTGTACTAATAAAATAATTATTAAAAATGAGTTATATATTTATATTTTGAGTTTTGAGATTAATTTAATTATGTAATTATATAAAAATATAAAAATAAGAAGAATTTAATTTTTAAAAATTTCTAATTCAATCTTAAAATTAAAAAATATATACATAAAAATAAAAAAGATAGAGGTTTGCGAGCTAACCTACCAACTCATCCCTTGGAGGGCAGGCTGGCTAAATGCAGGCCCTCTAGGAGGCGGTCCTTTTAGGATCGACCTACATGGGCTCAACCTGCGACGAGTTGGCTATGTGATGAGCATTCTTTTAAAACCTATTTAGATCAAAATTTTCAATTTATTTAAAAGATTAACCATGATAGAGAAGAAGAAATCTTAAATTTTAAAATCACTATCATCATTAAAAAAAATAAACTTATCACGAGCACATCGATACTTAACTTGGGTCTTGGACTTTCAAAGTCCAAAAATATCATTCAATTCTTAGCATAAACAAAACTCATACTTTCAAACGAATGTTATGTGGAAAGTCTTAGAGGCCTCTGACTTTTTAATAGCCCTCTCATCAATTAGTAGTAATCGAATCTATTAGTTTACAACATTAAAATAGATGAGTGCTATGTGGCAATATATAATAAAATAGCACATAAGACAAAAGAAGGGAGGCTATACAAGAAAAACTTGATAGCTGAGCCTCCACCATCTTTTCTGACGGACCAGCCTTAGAGCTATTACCTGAAAATGTTAAATCACGGGGGGTGAGACAAACGCCTCAGTAACCAACTTTTTAACTCATCATACAAACTAACATGGGCTTGTGAGATGTCAAGTGGGATAATTATTAATGCTCGAGAAATATAGATATATCCATAGAAATATAATTTTAATCATCCAAACTCTCACTATGGGGCCAACACCCAAGCCACATAAGTCTATTCCTCACTATGGGGAATCAATCAGACATATAGGCCTATCTCTCAATTTGGAAACGAATAAGAAGCCACAAATGCTTATCCCTCACTTTGGAGAACGAAGGAAGAAGCCAACTAATGTGCACCAATGGCGGTCTTATCACGTGGTAGGACAGCGCTTAATCTAAAATCCAAATAACAACCAATCATTCACAATATAAAGAAAAATGTCTCAATGTTTTCTCAGTATAATCCATAAGATATAACTCATATCTTTTTCAAATTTCTCAATCACAATTCCAAAAATCCGACAAGACAATTTTCATAGCTCAAAAGATATAATATATCAACTCGAATTCCAAATAACAAATATTATTCAAAAATAGGAAAATACTCACAAACAATATATTAGTACATATAATAAGTGGAAAGTGGTTATCTCTCGCCAAAGTAATAGAAGGATTACCAC